AGTTTGTTTTAAAATATATTCTTTCACTTGGTAATAAATCATGAATGTATTCTCATGCTGCTATAGAGATTTTAATGGCTGTATAGTATTGTATTACATAAATTTTATATAGCCAATTCCCCATTACCAGACATTTATTTACCAAACACTGATGTAAGCATTACTATATGCCAGGCATAGGTCTAAGCTCTGTATAGATATTAATTCATTTAAACCTTATCTTAACCTCTGCAGTAAGTACTATTATTATTTCCATTTTGCAGATAAGGACACTGAATCACAGAGAGGTTAAACCCAAGTGCCAGGTGCAGTGGTACATGCCTGTAATCCCAGCTATTCATGAGGTTGAGGCAGAAGGGTCACAAGTTTGAGTCTACCCTAGGCAATTTAGCAAGCACCTATCTCAAAATTTAAAAATTTGAAAAAGGGATGGGGATATAATTCAGTGCTATTGTGTGCTGGGTTCAATCCCCAGCACCACACACACACAAAATATATAAATAAATGAATAAATAAACAAACAAACAAACAAACAAATAAATAAATAGCTAGCTCATCTAAGATCACAAGACTCTGCAAGTGGTGGAGCGGGATTCAAACCCAGACAAGCAGCTCCAAATCAGTGCCCTAATCACAATTGGCTTGCCTCCCTCTGCCCCTGTTGAAAAGTTAGGACAGTCTTTTACCTGAGAGAATGGCTTAATCTTCCTAAGACTTCACTGGCAAATAAGGGAACTGCTGTCCTGTGAGTCACTGCTGTTTAGAATTAAATCGTCAGCTGTTGAGACAGCAGGCAAATAAGCATCTGGGCTGGATGGGCAGTGTTTAGCTCCACAGCCCACAGATGATTCCAGGGGCATTGCAGACTCAGATCCACCCAGCCTCAGGCCCTGGTTACTTAACCTGGGACAGAACCAGAGAAGTGCTATTTTCCTGAGAGACTGTTAACTTCCTCGAACCAAACCGAGAAGCCTTGTCTTTCACTTTCAGCCATAGGAGCAGTTGCATCTGACCCAAGCAACCTGGAGGCCAGGGAGAGGCAAGGTAGGAAGCTGGCTGGTGGCTGCTTCTCTACCCATAGGAACTGCAGCCAGGGCTGGGGGAACGGGTTCTTTCAACCTTCAGAGTAACTTGTGGGGCAGCACCCAGAGTTTACGAGAATCCTCTGACTAACTCACAGTGGCTCCAGTGGAATTGCTTCCTGGGTGACTCTAGGATCCATATTCATTGCAGCCTTGAGACTGGCCTTTGGCTATGGGCACCTCCTTTCCTATTCTTGTCCTCCCAGTAAGGATAATATATCATAGCTGACTATGATAACTGTTTGACTTCTTTAATTCTAACTTAATTCCCACAACAGTGCTATGAGACAGAATAGCAGTTAGCCATAATTATCTTCATTTTAGTCATGAAGAAAGGCAGTCACAGAGGTTACATACCCTGACTAAAGTGGAGAGGGTGTCAGGTATAGGGAATACTGTGTGGTGTGACCTTGACTTGAACCTGCGCCCCAGAAAGGGTCCCCATGGCCACCAAGGTAGCTGGGGGTGGGAGGAAAACAATAGTTGAGCTATCTTGTTCTCTTTAGCACATCAAAGTTGCAATTTGATAAGGGAAAGTGTTAAGGGTTGGAGGTGGTTAAAAGTCATATTTTACTTAAGCACCTCAGGCATTTGTTTTCAGAGGCAGGGAGTAGAGTTATATGAAGCAACATTCCTGCTTTCTCCCTGGGAGGTCTGTCAGTTTCATTCCTTCTTGTACAAGGGAACTTGGAACATACAGACCCCATGTCTTAGTTACTTTTCTCTTGCTGAGACAAAATACCTGACTCCCAAAGTTAAAGGAGGAAAGGTTTTTTGTAGCTCACAGTTTGTAGAGGATTCAGTTCATAGTTGGCTGGCTCCAAGGCAGGGTGGGATGTCAGAGGGGCATCAAAGAGGAGAAACAGTTCTTGGCAGGCAGAAGGCAGCAGGCAGCAAGCAGCAAGCAGCAGTAGCAAATGACAAGCAACAAGCAGTGATTCTCTTCCTGTTCTTTATATCCTATTCAGGTAGCACTCATACCCAGGGTGGGGCAGCCTTAATCCTAGCATCATACCATGAATCAATTCCAGCATCACATCCTTGATCCCAGCATTACATACTAGATCCAGCCACCTTCAAAAAGCCCCACCTATGACCGCATAAGGCTTTGGAAAGACATCTAGATATAAGCCATAACATCCCACATCCAAAGTCAGTGTCTCAGAATGTATTGATTTGGAAGTCATGATTTTCCCTGCAGCTCCAGTACCTGTCTGACCCTCTGAATGCTCAAGATCAGGATCTATTCTACCCCTACGAACAGATGCAATAGATGGATCACTCTCCTGCCTCAAAATTTCAATGACTTCCATCACATCAGATCAAGTCCATGACACAATCCTGGACTCCCAAGATACAGTATGGTCCAATGGCTAAGTGCTCTGTGGCTTCACCACCCAGCTGAAATCCTAACCCTGTTGCCTTACTAGTGGTGTGACTTTAGTCAAGTGTCTCTACTCTGTTTCTTAGTATTCTCATCTGTGAGGGTAATAGTACCTACCTCATAGATGCCTAGCATATAGAAAGAACTTAACAGATGTCACCTATTCATATTACTTTTGCCTTTGTTATTGCCACTCTTGCCACCCCCAGCTCATTATACTTCAATCATACCATCATTGCTACTGTTCCTCAAGCTCCCCAAGCCCTTCCCTATATTTGGACTTTTACCCTAGAGTGCCTACGCCTTCTGACCCAACTCACCCCTCTATTGTTGGTTTCTTGTCATTTTTAGGCTTCATCTCAGGGCACCTCCTCAGAAAGGCCTTCTCTGGCCACTCAGTCTAAATCAGCCCCAAGACTCTCTCTAGCCCATTGCCATTCTGTTGAAATTCCTGTGTGATGGAAATGACCTGCACCCATGACACTAGCCACGTGTGGCTATTCAGCACCAAAAATGTGGCTGAGTGGACTGAGAAACTGCATGTTTCATTTCATTTCATCTTAATAACTTAAACTTAAATTTAAATAACTTCCTTTGGCTACCATATTGAACAATGCAGCTGTAGCCATTACCCAGATTTTTGGTCATCATAGTGCTCACCACTCCCTTGTAGATTCATTCAGCTTGCAGATTCATTTGTTTGTAGTGCGTGGTCTGTCTCCCCCAGCTAAAGGTAAGCTCCGTGGAAGTGAGGGTCTGCCTGCCTTGCTCACTTCTGTGGTCCTCCATGGATATGATGGTGTCTGGGTTCTTGTGGGGGCTCATTAGGATTTGTTGAATGAATAAATAAATGATTTGGCCTATAAAAGCACTTTGTAAACCAAAACACATAATATGCATGTGATATGCATTATCATTTTATGTTACATATAATTTAAAAGCCTGCAGAAGTGTTTCACTGTTTAAAAACCCTAACATACACACACAGCTGATTATTAAAAACCAGTAATTTTAGAGTTGTTTTCCTTTTTATGAATGTGATTTCATTTCTCCAAATGAGACCCCTCACTACACACATTGTATATATAATCTATTTTCCCTCTAGAAACTTCAGGAGGGTGCAGCCTGCCCACAATTCCTTTTCCAGGTAACTTGAGCAACCCATCTTCACACTGGGGTAGGGCACACCTGGCAGCTCTTCCATCAGGGACCAGCCATGACAGCTGACCCTGGACTGCAGGCCCCAGACCTGCTCACCTGCTTCCCAGAGAGCCCAGCTTCAGGCTTAACAGGGGTCAGGTCCAAAGCCTCTGAAGTGTGTGGGTAGCTGCCTCTCTGACTATCATGGAGACATGAGTATTCCTAAGGGGATTACAGGATCCTGGAAATTAAAAACAAGGTGGAAGCAAGCTGTCTGCTTCCTGTGGGAGCAGCGAAGCAGAGCTGCCCTGAAACACAATGCCTGGCACTCTTGGGAGGGCTAGGATCTGGCCAGTTCCATGCCACTGGGCGGTGTGTAGTTTCCAGGGAGGTCTGGGGCTATTATCTGACCTCCTGTCTTAATGAACTCTGATGGCTCCACGTCTGCCTCTGAGAGAACTCTGAGACTGGAGCAGCAGAGTCAAATCAGGGACAGGGGATGTCCCTACCATGCAAGCTGACCCTCTTTGAGCCCAAGGATGGCAGGAAAACAGACTTACTAGAGGGCCTGGTGGCCAAGGTAGCTGTTTCTATTGCTCAAAGCCAGGTGGTGAGCTTGCTAGGTTCGGCTTGATGTGCCAAGCTGGCTTTGACCTCCACTGACCTAGACCCGAGCTGATAAGTTGGTGGCACAGACTGGAGACAGTTGGGCTGAGGTTGTTTTTAAGATTCCTTTGTGGTCAGTGTGCTTAGATTTGTTGTCAACATTCTCTCTCTACAGGCCTACCTCACCCCCAACCCCACCCCTACACCCAGACACAGTTTCTTCCCATAACATCAAACTGGATTCTGGGACTGTGGAAGGGAGTGGGGAGGGTGGCTTCAGGAAGGGATTTAGTGCAGCAATGTGGATATACCTGGGAGGCCGGGAGTGCGCAAGGATATGTGTGTTGGCTCCAGACTTCCACTATGAGAATTCCACACCTGAGGCACAGTGGAAGATTAGGCTTCTTTGTGGCGAAAGCACCAAGGGCTCTGTGTCCCCCTGATCCCACCCCACCTACAGGTTTCAGCATGGCCTGGGCCCTTCAGCCACCTTCACCTAGCCCTTCTGTGTGCCAGGCCCTGCCCTGCACCTGAGAGTGACTCACGTACTTTTGGGAAGCTGAAGGCAGGGTGCAGGCGAGTGTCTGGCCACATTCAGGGGCACAGGAAATGGCTCTTCTGCCTCAGGTCCTGCTGCCTGACTAGTGAGTCACAGGAGAATGTAGGCCCCAGGGGAGTTCTCCAGGTCCTGCTAGGCCTGTGAGCACCAAAGAGGAGGCAAAATCACCTTTGGAAAAAGGCCCTGGGTCGGGGCCAGGAAGTAGGCATGAGGAGGGGACAAAGGAGCTGCATGTGAAGCAGCCCCCAGCGGCCTGCCAGTCAGCTCTCCGCCACGCACCACTCTCTGTACAGCACCTTCTTCTGTCCCTAGGCTCCATATTATTTCCACTTTCTACAAATGTTTACTAGTTTGGCATTACATTTTTAAAATAATATGTTTATTTGAAATAATATGCTTTTGTGAAGTCATGTCCTGTGCCAGGAATCTCAGGGTTTTCCCACTGCCCGGTAGACAGACACGTGTGGGGCACACTCACTCTCAGGTCTCTCACTTGGTAGAATGTTGACAAAGGAGACCTGTGGCGTGGGGTGGCAAGTCATTCAGGCCCCTCCTAAAGGTGTGTCTTGGGTTACAGAGGGGCCTCAGCACCCTCAGGGAAGCTCAGTAAGGGGCCTAGAACAGCAGAGAACCTACCCTCCAGGGCTCCTTGCTAGGAAAGTGGAGGCTCTTGGGATGGCAACTGGGTTTATGACGGTTCAGCCCCTGCATGGGCCGGGCCTGTGCCCGGTGCTTTCCTTGCATCATTATACCCAAATCCTAAAGCCAATCCAAGAACAGATTATGCACTCTTCTCAACCCCATTTCACAGCGGGGAAACCGAGGTCCAGAGAGAGGCAAAGGATTTGCCCAAGGTCATAAGACTTCAAGCAGCAGAGCCCGTCCGGACACACACGTTGGGCTGACCAGAAAAGCTGTGCCCTTAGTGACCTCTGCCCACCTCCCTCTGGATGGTGTCCACTGCAGGCACCCTACATTCCTGCCCTGCGCTGGGTGCTGAGGGACACCACAGAAGCCTGTGGGCAGCCCCACCCTCCAGTCTGCACATGTGTAAGAGCAATTTGGTTCCCTTCTCAGTAGGCTGGAGAGGCACATCCCTCTGCTGATGTAATGTCTCTTCCTGTGTATTTTTGCTGAAACGTGGCTCCCAACTGTGTCCATTTGTTCAGCCCCAGAGAATCCTGTTGGGGAAAGATTATCAAAATATTTGCTGGCCTTGCAGGGAGCATTCAGAGCTCCTCCAGGAGTGTTATTGTATGTGTGAGGTGCCATTGTTCTTCCCGGCTTCTGTTTGTATATCTGCTGTGGAGGGGGAGGGAGGAAATCTGTATTTAACTAATAGGTGGAAACTATATTTAGCCTTCCTTGAGCACATTAGGGATGCACAAGTGCAATGCGGATATCTGCCCATGATACGTCCAGATAAATAGGCATTTAGTAATTTCCTACTTTGAAGTGTTACAGGGGATCTAAACCTGATCAGGGAAAAGTACAATTAACATAGTCCTAGTGTCTTAGGTGTAGGGAGCCCCTGGGGTGGAGGAAAGAGTGTCCCAACATCTTGGTTGGCTCTGCCTTTGACTTGAGGGCAAGTCCCTCATCTCCTGGGACTTGTACGCTTGCCTGTAAAATGGGATGGAGCAGCCCCAAGAGATGATCCTGGAGAGGCAGGGAAGCTTCTAAGAGCCAGGCTGTCCAAGACCCCTTCATAAGAGCTGGGAGACTTTGGGCAACGTAGGTAATCTTTCTGGCTATCAGTTTCTTCATTGGTACTTTGTGCGTGTGTGTGGTATGCATGTGGTGCGTGTGTGTGTGTGTATGGGTGTGTGTGTAACAGGTCTGTATATAATGTCTCTGAATCTGCACTTGGCTATTGTATAACTAGCATGCAGTAAGCAGCTGCTGTTATTATTTATGCCTTTCATTGCTCTCACATTTTATAATCTGAACTGTGGATCTTGGCAGTCACTCTGAGGGATTGTGCTTTGGTTGAGTTGAGCAGTAGACTGAGAAGCTAGCTGGAGGAAAAGAAGAGTTTCCTTTGCTGGAATTTAAAAAATAGACAGAGAGGAAAGGGTGGTCAGAGGGGAGGGGGGGAATCACTGAAGCTCATCTAATCAGCTCATGAGTTCTGCCCTCCTCTGTGCCCCTCACAGGGTACAGCTTTAATGCAGTGATTTTTACCTGTATAAAAATCCTCAGGGATGGGAGTGGAAGCAAGAAATATAATTTTCCACAGAGCCTGGGCCCCCTGAGAGTATGTACAGGGAGGGAGAAGGTGGTAGGGAGATTGACTTCTATCACTTAGGCAGAGCACTATTAAGTTTTTCTGTTCCTTTTCACTATTTTGAGTTTCTCTCTCCCCTAGGGAGATACCTTGCAGATGATAGTGTGGGTTTAAAAACAAAATCCACATGGTCAGAGCCAGATAGATTAGGGGGCTGGGTACAGAGCAGATGCTGGCAGCTCACTAGCAGCCCAGAGGTGTCTTTCCTCTCTTAGTGTCCTCGTCCATAAGATGGATGTAATGAGACTCATCTTGAGGGTTTCTGGGGAGTGAAATAATCACGTATGTGCAGCACAGAGCCGGAGTTCAGCCAAGCTGGCCCTGATCCTCAGCCTTCCCTCCCTCTGTGCCTGACAGGGCCCTCTGCTCCCTGGGCACCCCCTGTGCCAGCCAGGAAGGCAGGAGGCAAGGTTTCTTCCCACTGTGTGTCACTGGATTTCAGCACAGGGCTGTAATCTTCCTAGAAGTTCCAGGCAGGTTAGAACCTGTGAGTTGTTGTCAATAGTGGATGCGGCAAAGGGGAAGCTATAAATAGGAAAGAAACAAAAGGGGAAACACATCAGCCCCTTCTCATGTGGCCTTCACCCACACACTGGTGGCTTAGCTCTGCTAGGGTCTCAGCTAAGAGCTAAGCATTGTGGCGGTCACATGGCAGGCTGAAGACGCCTCCTGTCTTTCCTAGGTGTCCCTCACATGCGCAGAAATGGCTTATTAGGGTTTTGTGACTACAGTCATGAAAATACTGCTTCTGTCCCTCTGGCCACAGAGTCCTAGTGGCTCAGAGGGTGTGGGACAGTACTGAGGGGCTGCAGACAGGAGGGCACAGTCATGGGCCTGGTCAGCATCTTGACAGCTAAAATTCTGAGGCCCACGTCTGGTAGGGTCCCCAGGGCCCTCAGAGCCCTTGCCCTCTCCTGCCAGATCCCAGGATTTTCTTACATTTTCCTAAGTTTTCTTGCTGCTCCCAGTGTCTTCTCCGTCAAGGTCACAGTAATCCCAAATGGTTCCCCTTTTTTGCAGATTTGAAGCAGACATCCTTTTTGCCCAGCAAATGTAATTCTGCACCAGGCCACACAGCTTGCTGAATGGTTACACAGGCTGGATTTCAACTCCTAGTTGCTCCCTTGGCTGAGCAACCTTGGGCAGTGAACAACATATACAACTGTATGGCAGCTCTGCTTTTCATTCTCTGCTTTAATGGTGTAGGTTTACCATGCTGTTTCTGCTGCTGCCTCCTCTGAATTCACTGCTCTGCCCTCCACTGCAGCCCTTCTCATTAGCAAAGCCAACTTTTATAGCCTGGCACTGTCAGTTTCCTAGTCCCCTGTTTGAAGGGGCTTGTGATGCATTCCAAGGCTGGGCCAGAGGACAGTGACGGGCCCACAGGATTCTCTCTGGCACCATGCAGTGCTCCAGGCCTAG